GAGCCTGCGCGTCCGGGGCCTGTGCTCCCCAACGGGAGAGGCCACAAAAGGGGGAGGCCCCCCCACCCAAAAAAAAAAAAAAAAAAAAAAGTCCGGTAAAGCAGCCCAGAAAAAAATCACTCTTGATGCACTGGGTAAGCCTGAAGCCCTTATAGAAGAAAGACAAAAATGAGCCCCAAGAGACCAGAGCTCATTTTAATTACCCACGAAGTCTGACCAAGAAGCCCTGTCCTCCGTCCCATGGCCACACCCCCTCATGGGAGCTCCATTTCCAGGTCACGGGGCACAGGAACTGTAGCAGGCTCCTATTAGGTGTGGTTCACAGTCCACAAACACACCTCTTGTCTCCTCAAGGCCTTCCTCATAATACTGTAATCCCAAACCGATCAGCATTACTCCCAGCCCTAGAGTGTACAGCATTCTCAGCATACCCAGGAGTCATGCCACAGTACCCTAGAATCCAACTGGCCACTTCCCTTGAGCAGTGACCTACACGGACTTCAAACAGTGGCTCTAGTACTAGCTATTACATCACAGAAAAAATAACTCCAAGGCTGGTATCAGGCACACACAGAATAGAGAGTTGTTTATGTTGAGCGATTCTGAGTGAAAGAAAGAGCAACTCACATTTAATAAGCACATATGTGCCACACACACAGCTAGATTGTGGCACAGCTGAGGCTGGAACCAATCTGCAGGTTCCCAATTCAGTTGGCTTTTCAATTTAACAGCTAACTGAGAGCTGAGCCCTAAGGAAATAGGACCCAGAATAACAGAATAAGTGAGTATTATGGGGTGGAGTTATGACCACGGGGCGTGCCCCTAGGCTCGGGAGGGGTAGGGAAGAGGCAGTCTGTCACTAAGCACCTAAGGAGACCACTGAAAAGGGGAGGTGAGTAATAAAGACAAACTCTTTTATTTCCCAAGTGTTCCAAGGGTGGCCCCAAATCAGTGCTATAAAATTGGTATCAAGGGTCTTGGTGTTTCTAGGAGGCACATACTCTGCTATAAGCTCAAAGCAATGAATTCAGTTGGCATGATCTATAGACATTGCCCAAGAGGAGAATGACAGCCATCCAAGGACTAGCCACAAACTCCCCAGAAAGAAGGTTCTTCCCCTGGACCCAAGGTAACCATAATCAGGCAACTGTACTCAATGGAAACTCACTCGAAGGCGAAGAAGAGTGTACACGTCCCCAGGATGAGGAAGAGGGTCAAATAGAAGATGCCCTTTTGCCGGGCCATCATCACGCGGCCATCACAACAGAAGGTGTTCCTGCCTGGGAGTTTCTCCCATTTCCGTGTCACCTTCTTTCTCACCACCATCACAGACATGATTGGAATTCCTGGTCCAAAATGGGTTTTGTGATTACAAGAGGGAAGAAACAAAAGCTGAGCCCAGCTTTGAAATCACGTTGCCTGCTATTGCTGCCGCTGGGTCAAACATCATCAGAAGTCCAATTTCTAGCCCTAAGAAAAAGCACACACACACACACACAAATGAGACAGGAACAAGAAAATGCAGTTCAATCTTCCTTTCCCAGAGGCAGAAAGATGAGCACTGCTTGAAGGGATGGGGGTGAAGAAATGGGAGAGTTTATTTCCAATCTGTTTTTGTCCCCTAAAAGAAGAAAAGGTTAAAGGTTCTCAAAAAGAGAAGGGGGCTAGCATATCTTCTTAAATATACCCCTTTACTTCCAATATAATACTGATGATGTGATTATCATAGAACCTTGGAACTAGAAGGGATTTTGTAGTTGATAGGCCCAATTACTTTGTTTTGGAAATGAGTAAAGTGAAGACCGAAGAGGGGAGATAACTTCTCCAGGGTCACAAAGCCATGAAGCGAAGCCAAGAAAACAGGTCTGCTGACTTTCAGTCCAGGGAACTTTCCACTATACCATATTTTTCTATAATCATCACAAAGAGGACTCTAAAAATAATAGTAGAGTTTCTGCCCTTAAGGAGCCATTCCCACCCCTCCTCCAGTTCTTCGCCTTCTTTCTTCAATTAGCCACTCAAATGTGAATCACACCAGGGAACAAGTCATCCTCTGGCAGAGCTAGGAGGTTGTGGACACTCTGTACACAAACCCAGGTTGTATTTACTCAAAACAGATTTCCCCTAATCAAACCCTCCTAACTTCCTGAGTCCGGGAAATGAACCAACCTTGCTGGTCTAGCCTAACATTGGTGGGAATCTTAATGAAACCACATCACAGACCTGTAGGTGAAAGGCTGACTTAAGCAGGAGAGGTTCTGATATGGCTGGGGGGAGGAGGGGCGGGGGGGGGACGGCAGCAGTCAAGAAAAGTCATAAAGGTGCTTTCTGGGACATTTCAGAAGTACCATCTCCACTTAGCATCCTGAATCCCCAGGCCCAGCCTTTCTCTGCCACTGCCACCCTTCTCCTCCTCTCAGGTCGGGTGCTGTGGCCTCTATTTACTGATACCACATGCCCCGCGCTGGCAAGAATGAGGCGGAAGCCTGCAGCCCAACTGACTGATGAGAAACAACCAACTCGAAATCATTCCTGGGCTGGAGAGGGTAAGGGTCCCAAGAGAGACGAGGAACTGAGCAGGAAAAGGAGAAGGTGGAAGGCTTGGGAAAGGGGAGGGGGCACCAGAGGTACAGAGAACACTTCCTTTGTGTAAAACTAACCTGGAAAACAATCTTCTCCTGATAAACCGGCCCAGCGAGAGAAGAGAGACCAGGAAGGGGAGCCGGGCCTGGGAGAACAAAGATCAAAATCCGTCAAGAACCAGCGACCGGCCCAACGGCACGGGGCCGAGGCCGGAGTCCCAGGCGGGCGGCGGGCGCGGCCTCGGGAGGCCCGCCCTGCCTCGGCCACGCCGCCGACCACCGCCCCGGGCAGGTTGGGACGTGCGCCACCTCCGCACGCTCGTACACACTCACACACGCCCCGCCACGTGTAGTCACCCCCGGCCAGGGGCTCGGAAGTTGCCTAGCCGAGAAGGGGAGAGCCAGGGTCCGCGCGTCCCGGAGCAGCCGCGGGAGCGGTAGACCACGCGGCCGAACCCCGGAGACCCCCACCCCCACCCCTTGTTACCTGAACCCCGGAGACAGAACTCGGCCGGGAACCGAGGCCAGGAAGTGCACTGTCCCAGGGGACCGCGTCGGCCGCCCGAGGTGGCAGCGGCTTCTCCCCAGCCCGGAGGCTGCCTCCTCCTGACAAGGGGCCCCAATGGTCGGGGCCCTAAACCAGCTGTGGCAGCCGCCCACCACTGGGCGAATGGAACGCTCTTCACGTCACCAGGTCGTTCCAGTAGTTGCTCGCCCTCCATTGGCTGATCCTCCTCTGTGCCTCCGCCTCTGCCACCCCTGCCCCGAACTACCATTGGCTGAGCCAAACGCCGCTCGACGATGCCTCCGCCCCACTCTCCCACCCATCTCCCGGCTTCTTGCCCACCTGCCAAGCCATTGCCAGACTCCCTTTGGGGTCTGAGCGCCAATGTGAAGTGTCGCCTTCTATTAATATAGTTCCAAAGAGACTGGGGTGAAGGGTAGTGCCAATGGGATCAGGAGGGACAGGGGACCTGCCTCCCCCCACACGTACTGTGAGACGCTGAAGCAACACTGGCTCACAGATCCCGGTGCTCACCCCAAACTAGGTCCTCCCTGGGCCTCTCCAGCCCTGCTTGCATGAAATCAACTGCGACTCGGGATTTTACTCTTTACCGGCGTAAAAACAAGTCCTCTGCCTCCCAAGTCCTATTCACTAGGTAGGGACCCCACCTCTGTCCCAGTCACCCTGGCCTGCAGCTCTAAGGCTTTCAGAACAAAACAAACAAACGTAAAAAGGAACTTGAAAGGAATAACTGTCCCCAAGAATAGAATAATTTTGCAGTATCGTAAACAAAAAAATTGACAGTGATGAGGACGTAAATTCTTTCAGGTAGATAATGAAGTAAAGATTGCTCCAAAATGCTTGTAAATTCGTATTAGATTTGAAGAGCTTGTGAAAATGAGGCGGCGGGCGGGGCGGGGAGAGCGGGGAGCGGGAATCCAAGGCAGAATCTCCACCCACCAACCACATTGATTCTTTCCTTCTGTCGCCTTCCTCAGCAGGGCAGTTATTACCATGATGAGCCACTGCTACTGATCTGAGCGAGTGGCATCCTTTAGAGTAAGATTGGAGTGGGGAAAACAGTTGAGAACCAGAGTATCAATATTATACAGTAGACTTTAAAAGACACTAGGTCTGTTTCCACTAGGATGGCTCTTGGCTTCCAAATATAAAGGGAAATAAGAGAGAGGGCTAAAGGTGGCCTTTCCTTACCTGTCACGTGGTTAGGGAGAGTGCCCAGATTGTCAGCTATTTTCCTGAGCTTGAATAAAGTTTTTCTAGGGTGAAGGTATTTGCAATGAATACAAAAGAGACTGCCAACGCTCTTCCCAAAGCAGTTTTTTGTGTTAGTTGAAGGACCACGTGCATGGTCAAGAACTATTTCTCCTTTTACAGGATTTGGGTCCCACATGATATGAAGCAAAATGCTACCTAATGATAGTTACATTTGACACTTTCATGGCACCCTTCAATCAAAAATTTTAAAGGATTAAAAAATCACTAGGTAATTCTCTTATGAGAGAGATGTGTTTAATTAATATGTAGGGGAAAGTATGTCTTTATAAAGGTTCTATTGTTCCCCAGCACTCATGCTGATTATAATCATCGGTTTAGTCTTTATGAACCTTATGATCAGTATCATTGCCTCCAGTTCTCCCCTTTAAATCCTGGAGGCTGCTGGTATTGCACACACTTGGTATGGAAGGGAGAGGAACGTCCCTCAGCCCCATCAGGCCCCTGGATTCCCAAGCCTGTGTACACCAGGTGCCCTTGGGAGTGGCACAGTCACCCCAGCTGCCATCCTCCTAACTGGGGAGCGGACAAAAAGAAACCTCCACAGCATCCAAACATACTTTGTCCATATCTCAGGTGCAGATGAAGCCCGGGGCGTCCTGGAATCAATGTGTCACGGCAACGCATTCCTGAGCTCTGCCCCTCCCTCCTCTGGGTCACATTCCCTCTGGGATTAAGTGGCTGTGTAGGTCAGGCTTGCTTTATTACAATCTATTATTATTTGTGCTCACCTCTAAAAGAAAAATAAGGAAAATGTATATGGACAAACATTCCATACCGATTCCTTCTATGTCATTACATCGTTTTATATAATCCCGAAAGTCTTAATACACACACCCAACTACACTGTGACTATAAACTAAGATCGTTTTTTTCTTTTCTTTTCTTTTCTTTTCTCTTTCTTTTTTCTGTTTGCTCTTCCACAAATCCCTAGACTTCATGCGTCCAAATCGGTTTTGGCCTCTTTGAAGGGGAGTTACAGTCACATGGTGAGCACTCGAAACAGCATGGAATAAAGGTCCAGGCTTCCACTGTGTGGTCACATATATTCTGGTGTGCTTGTTTAAAAGCACCTGTCTCCATATTGATGGTTCCTGTGTGAGTGTGTGTTCATGGTGTGTAGGTGTAAAGTGCTGTCTGAACAACCTCAGATCCTGAGTGCCGCCACTGGGTTGCAGCTTGCCTGTTAGTGTTGCTTCAGACATCTCTTCTGTAAACACCCAGAGACCCCTTCAGTACTGTATCCAAGAACAGACCCCAAAACTTAGTCCGCATCCTGCGGTCAACTCTTGTTGGCCCTTTTCTTCCTCTCTGTTTACTTTAGCCTCAACCCTTCCATGCCCCCTTGCTCTCCTACCCACACAAGTGTCCCTTCCCACCTCACCTACCTGGCCTGCTCTCCTCTCTTTACTTTCTGGCTATAAATAAACATATATTTGTAGAATGAATTGATGAACAAAGGAGAGAACCACGGACACCCTGTCCACACATGACCAACTAGTGTTCTTAAGCAACAGCTGTTTCCCTGAGGCCTGGGCTGCTATCACTGACGCAGAAGAGACAGGATGGTGTGCATAGTAGAAAGCTCCAAAGCTTTACAGCCAGAAGGACCCAGGTTCAAATCCTGGCTCTGCTACTTAGTAGCTTATGTAAACTACAGCAAGTAATTTCTCCTTTCTGAGCCAATTTCCTCATCTGTAAAATACAGCTAATGCCCACTTCATAGAGTGATAAAGGGGATTGAAGGTAATGTGTGTGTGCTAAATGTCTGGCATATAGGAGAAACACAATCAATGTTGTATGTTCTAATGACGTCTGTGGTAACTGTCGTTTCCCACCTCCCTCCTTGACCTGCACTGCTGACTTGGGGGAGAAAGGTAAGAAGAAGGAGACCCATTCTTCACTCTGTCGAACCCTTGTCATCCATGTGCCGCATGTTTACAGATCCTCTAAATCCGTCACTGAAATTAATCCTTATCTGACTGGCCACTTAGTTTCTCAATCCCCGGGGAACCCTACTGCTGCTTGGGAAAAGCTTGGGCTGTAATCTTGGTCTAGTAGAATGGCTGTTACGTAGCACCATCACCTCAAGTGAATCCTCAATACGGCCTCCACATTATTTGTTTCAACAGGTGAGAGATCAACGGCATCTCTTTCATTACACAACTTCTGTGTTCACATCACTGTGCTGGGATTGTTGGCTCCTGTCAGAGACTGAGAAGCACCTTAAAGACGCCACCGTGTGAAAGCCAAACATCAAGAAGTCCAATAAAAGCTGCCTGGGGTGACAGGGAAGGCGCTGTCACAATGCAGCTAAATTGCTCAAACCCAGCCTCTGCTTCTGCCTCTGATGCCTGTCTGCTCTCGCTGGTTCTGAATTTTATTTCATCTCTAGATTGTGGATTTCTGACTCCACCAGGAATGATTTTAGATGCTGTGTCAGACCCCTCAACACTAGTCCTAAGACTACCCTCTCACTAAACAGGAGTCATAATAACATCAATAGAGACCATTTATTAATGACCTCCTCCGAGCCAGGGATCGTGCTAGGTGCTCAAAGCTTAGGTTCCTAGATTATGGTCTAAACTTGATGTCTAAGTGAGAGCATCTGATACTGACCCAGCACAGCCCTAGCCTCCCACTCTGCCCAGCCTTCTCATTCCAGGAGCTGACCTCAAGGGATTGTGTAGCCCAAAACTATAAGCTGGTTTATCGGTCAGTTAAGTATGTGTCAAGCACCCACAGTTTGCCCAGCCTGTACTAGGCACTATGGGAAATACCAAAGAAGTAAATGACATGATCCCAGGCTCTAAGGAACTTCAAATATTCTAAGCAAAAAAAGACCAGCTCATGTGAAGTCATTAAAGATAAACATGAAACAGGGCAATTGAGTCCAATTCTCAACCACGCACAGCAGAGTCTCCAACCTTTTAAGGAGAGCTTGCCTCAGAAGGGTGTACCCTCTCAAATACTGTTGATAGAAGAGGAAATTGGAAAAATCTTTCAGTAAGGCTGTTCAGTAGTATCTCTTAATATTTTTACATTATATAACCATTGACCCAACAATCCTACTTCTGTTGAGAAACACTAGCACATATGTTCAAAGATATATGTACAAAGATGTTCACTATAACATTGTTTGTCATTGCAAAAGTTAGCAAACAAAAAGTTCTTTAACTGTATACACAGGAAAGGGTAGACTATCACCTTCCTGTATGTATGTGTATATATTTCAATACAGATTTTACATTAAAAAATTAAGTATCTATCTGCTGACATGTAAGTATGCCCAATATATACTAAGTTTAAAAACCAAGTAACTAAACTTTTAAAAAATCCAAACTTTATAAAATTTAAAAAAACATTTTGTGTGTGTAAGTGTATGATTTTATGTACATATATTTTATTTTAAAAGTCTGGAAGGATATTTACTGAACAGTGGTTACCTCTGAGGAGTGAGAGTGATGAACAAACTTTTAAGTTTTACTTTATACACTTCTTTCATGTCTGAATTAGCTGTAAGGAGTATTATTAATTTTAGGACTTAGAAAGATTTTAAAAATTATTATAAGGCTGTATACCTCTCTTTCAATATGGCAGAATGACCACATGCATTTATATCCACTCTCTCCTAAGACATCATTAGAATTATAGTAAAGGGATTAAAAAGGCATAAGCTCATAACAAAGAAGAGAAGAGGGGCATTAGATGACAGTATATTTCACAAATGTCTGGAAGACAGAAATTGGAGGAAACGGTATTGACTGAACACACAAAAACTAAGGCTGATTCTGGAAACAACCAGCCCAGAAAAACACCGTACAGAACATAGAAAGAGTCATCCAGGAAAAAGGGAAGTTGGCAA